AAAAGAGAGCATTTATTTTTCTGCATTGTAAACTTAGCGAATCATAAAAGCTAATAATTCATGAAAATTCGCAGTGTTTGAGAAGAGTCTGCTTGTTCGTATAACTATAAGACAGTCTATTGTTGAGAAAGTGAATTCGGAAGGACAGACACTGTTTTTGATGACCCACGTTCTTGCCATCAAAATTCCCCTGTGAACGAGAAAACTGCTGATGTTATCTAGCACCATACTGTGCAAGACCCCCATATCTCTATACAAGAACTTACTGTCGGTGCATAATATAATCGTGAAGAATTCCAACTGGAAAAAAAATGGTGTCCCTGTTTGATACCCCATTTACTAACCACAGAGCATAAACGAGAAGAGACGAAATGTGCCATAGAACTGATCAACACGCTTGAGCTCCATGGCCCCAAACGACCTTCAGACAATATCTTTGGAAACGAAACATGGCTTTCCTTTTCTGGAACTCCAGCAACACAGCTGAATTGCATGTGAATAGATGGAAAAGAAGATATGTCTACCGTTTTGCTCTACGGAATTTAAAAACAAAAAGAAGCTTTTTAAAAACCGTTTTTTCCGTTGTGGTTGGTATTATGTCACAACACACTACTATCTACTATGACCCTTACTTACTATGTGCAAAAGATACTGTCCCCGGCATTTCATGATGCTGTAAGAATTTAAAGTGTGATTACCATCTGCAAGAGGTACTTGTCATTAAAAAAACAACCCAACCAAACCAGCATTATAGCTCTTTAGTATGGTTTAAGCGTTGTTGTAATTCTGCAGTTAATATCACGACCCATTAACCCAATGTCATGTTCCCGTATTGTCCAGTCTTTGTGTGAGCGCGGTGGTGTGGGAGACTACCTGGGCCTACCCGAGTTATCAAGAACAGGTGCCCAACGGGAACAACGTCCCTCACCCGTGTAAGGTCAACTACCGCTGGCCAGGACTCGGACACGAGAACCCGCTAGGGGGCGGGGCCAGGAACGTCTTCGGACAGGACTTTGCCCGGCTTGGACGTACGGTGAGGAGCGGGCAATTTAACGTACACGGAGTTAGATCTGGCTGAGGACTAAATCAGCACCTAGACATGGGTGTCTGGTGCTCCTATATACACTATCAATGGCCTGGAAACCTAGACGGGATGGTGGTGGTGGCAATAGGGGTTTGGGCTGGTACATGTGAGGTTTTGAGAACAATTTATCATAGTAATAAAACCACGTAAAACTTGAATTAATGTGTCTTGTTGATAGGTTTAATCTTATGGGGGTTTTCTAGTGGTGGCGGAAAAGGGGGATGGATGTGTGTGTGTGTGTGTGTGTGTGTGTGTGTGTGTGTG